TATTTATTAATAAAGCAAAACAGCAAAATGAACTCGGCGATCATGTTTATACATCAAATAATACCTTTACATTGTTTATCAATCTCATAATTATTAACAGAGCGAATAATTTGTTGGCTCGAGCGCTGAGATAAAATATTTTTCGCTTACAGACACAAAAAGTAAAAGGATCATCAGTTTGTTGAACTCACTGACGCTTTTCCGGACTTAGAATTAACATTTGGATTAAAATGAGGCTATTAAAAGAGCTACATTCCTGAACTACATTAGGATTCCAGTCCATAATTATGCCTACATTGCTTAAATGTTAAGCAATCCATATTAAAAAGCTCTGACTGATTACGTCAATTTGTTTTCGTATTACGTAGCTAATGACTTTAAAACTTTAAGGTATTTGTTACTCTCCGATTATGTTCACAAACACACGAGAGTCAAAGTCAAAGTCAAATTCAAAGCATTTAGTTCAATTAAACCGTAATTTAGTACTTTTGAAACGTCAACAAATACAAAATAAATAATAGTCTGTCATGCAGTCCGTCAATGAAGCTAGGTGCTCATTCCAAAATGTAGATTCGAATGGAGAAAAACGAGCAAAAATTCGTCACTCTTTTAAAAAAAGTATGTTCTACAATGTCTCAGTTACATATTCCAATATTGTACGTATATGTGAGTTCCTTTGTATATTTGGTCATATAATTCATACTCAAAATAAGCAGTAACTTTTAGCTTAATTAGCATTAGGAATGCTCCTCACATTGTCTGTTTAATTTCATTTCGTTGAGTGGCAAACTTCCTCTGTCCCGGCTCACGACGCTCAAAAGCTTGCTTTCATCTAATACGCCGAATGATTAATATTAGAAGTTGCTACTTCTGTATTAACGTCCATTTTTCCTTGCTCTTGTTTTTAAAATATCTCTGTTTGAACTAAGAAGTTTTCTAGTACTAGTATCTATTGTTTGTTTGGCTAAATTCTTTATTTTGTAATTGCTATTGACTTTAGATGTTTCTTTTTAAGAGAAGTTAAGATGTTGTATCATAGTTTAAAGAATTTTTACAATTTGTAAATAATATTTCAAGAAAAATAAAATTTGTTCTGTTAAACACAGTTTGAAATAGTCATATCGAACATTTCGGGGACATTTTCGCAATTATGACACTAATTCAACATGTATTTTGCGGTTAAAATTGCCTGTACATGCATGACATATGAGTGCCTGGTTAGTGAGACACCCTCAGAGAGGTGAGAAACGATCGATGACACGACACAAGCTCTAACGCTCCCTCGAGGACCCTACACGTATGCTACTGAACTCAGCGCATTTTTTAATAGTTGGTTTTCATTATAGTATCCTTAAAGTTATGTAGGAAGATAAAAGACTTGGTTGTTTACACAATAGTGGAATCAATATAGTGTTATAGGAGAAATATTACTTAGAAGGTTTGTATTACCAAAATGGTAATCAATAACTACAATTCTAGTTAAGATGTTGTGCTCATTACGTTGCGTTTTTATTGTATGCAGTGATGCAAATTATTTGTATTATTAAAACTAAAATGACAAGGATTATGAAACTGTAAATGTATTAAAAAAGATTAGTACCTAAATAGGTATTGCAGACGACAGCAAGACGTGAGTTCGCAAGTCCGAAGCAGGGGTTTGAAATTAAATTCTCAAGCTAGCAATGTAGAATAGGTTAATTTCAGTATTTCGAAAATATCTCAGCTTTAACTCGGACATTGTAATTGCACCCGGTGTAGGTATAAGGTACATGGAACTCATAACAACTGGTGAACTAATTAACATAACTCTTTAGAGAAAAAAAACGTAATTTTATGTTTTTTAAGAATCTTTTTGTTCGCATTTATTAATTAGTCTTGCTGAGGTCTGTAGAATAAAATTATGCTAACACTTACCCAAACTTCGAGAAGTCTAACACGAACAGCCTCGTTGACTGTCGAAGAACTGCAACACCAATATGAGAGTCACTGCTACATTCCACTGAAACAAAGAAAACAATATGTTACAACCATATACCGCATATAGATTTATTAAACAATTTTCCATTTTATATTACAAATAGGTTACAATCCATACAATACTAGGGAATCTTACAAACTACTTATCTATATTAGTAATAAATAATTACTTCTATAGATAGACATATTATGTATAAAAATATAATAACGCGGATAACTCTTAAACGACTACACCAAATTGGATAAATCCTTTTTAATTGATCGCTCGGTATTATAAGGATAAAGTTTGTGTAACATCAAAAAGCGATTTCACCGGAAATTTCCCGAACGGCATTGAAACAAAGCCGTAACTGGCTGGTAGTGCTACAAGCGAAAGAGCATATAAATCACGTTATTCGAAGGCCGATGCCGTACACAACAAATATTTACAAACGGCACATCAGCAATTTGCATTTATTAAAACAAAGCTGACTGTTTTATTTGAATACATTGATTCGATGATCGACTGATGTTTATTATGTTAACAGTGAGCCAAATAAACACAGTTTTGTCCTATTAAATTGGCTGAAAATTAAATTCCGTATTCATCTCGTTCAAGCTGTTGTTACATGTATACATTGTTTGAAATTAAACTACGAATTGTTTATTCACATATAGATTTATTAAACAATTTTCCATTTTGTGTTACAATTTCATTATTTATTGAACATGCCCGATTAAATATCTATTAGAGCTGTTTCGCCTCTAAATAGGAAGAATGTATTAATTCAATAGACACTACGTTAAATTATCCATTAGTTAAACTAATAGATGGTACATAACACAAATAGTAAAAAGTGGGTATTACATTGTACAGCGGCATTAACCTGTGAACTGTCGAAACGCAGATCTATGCGACACACAACGTGTTTTCTATTGTGTCTCATGTATCAACAGACAAAAGTTTAAGTGCCGTAATGTGCACCTCTGCTTACCCCTTAGGGACTAAAAGGCGTGATATGTTATGTTAAACTAATAGAAACTTGACTAGAGGTGGTATCGACAGAGCCTCTCTCAACAAACGCGTTAGTCCGACAAGAACTTTTAGCTCGTTAAGATAAATCACTTAAGAGTACATCAGAGCACGACACACGACAAACAAACAAGAAATCGAAGTTCACGGTATTTGTCATTCGCGAATATCGCACAAAGTTTCGCGTCTACGCTCGCCTTCAGTGATCCTACTGCCATAAAGTATAACGAGTAACTTAAACTTGATGCAAACACGTTTTTAACAAGTTTACACAAATTTGAATACCGTTCCGTGATCCGTGCACGGGGTGGAAACAAAATCTGTCACATAAGTCTCATGACGTAGGATCCGTCGCGTCTGCTAAGTAGTGAGCAGACGTTCGTTAAAACTTCTTAGTCTAAGATAGACAACATGTCCCAATACAACGACAAACTCATCTATACATCTGTACAGATATATAAAATTGGAATGTCTGTTCGTAATATTAAAATAATGGCTTCTTACTATGTGCTTTTTGTCTCAAATTTTGTCTGTCTGTTTATACTGGCTAACCTCTGAAATGGTTGGACCGATTTTGACGGAACTTTATTAGCAGATAGATAGGCTATTTTTATTTTAGAAAAATGCAGACGAAGTTGCTCTTTCAGGTAGTAACAATATAGATAAAGTTGATGTACTAGTATGAAGCATGAAGAATGTAGATCCAGGTTTTACACAAAGAAGGTGATAACTACCAGTCAAGTTTCAAGTTATGTATTAAACAACGTGTACGCCACAGGTCGCCTCGTGCCTCAAGTCTCGTGCTACAGGTTGCCTCCGCCTGTTATTAACGAACCCGAAATAATTCTTAGCAACCCCCTTTCTTACTGAAACTGGGTTGATGTACGACTTCCAGTGTATAAAGGAGGCCGCGGTGAAATACCGCTCACTGATACTACGAATGGCTGCCTTTTACCAAGACGTATTAGCGAAATATTTCTATTTTAAATGGTTGATTATTTTTGAAAATGAACAGTAGTAGAAAATTTATTTTATATTTTTTTAAACTTTACTTAGGTGTCTACCTATCTCTGAAGAATTTTACCTCTATACGCAATTGACACGTTCTGTCAACTGTGGTATAAAAATAAAAACGCGAAACCGCCAAAGCCTTCCATTTGTACAGGAACCGAAACTTTTGGAGCGTAAATATTCGTTAAGTCAATATCGAGGTCACGTTTGATAAATCAAAGCTCGGCAAACGGACGGTAGTCGCAGTATTTACTTAAATTTTTCGAATAGAAAATTCGCCTCAACCTCAGCTCGCGTGTTTACAGACGCCCACACATCGAACTACCAAATTGCTATTTTTTTCGACATCTACATTTTCGACTTTATTACTAACCAACAAGGTTTTAAATGTATTAAAAACCCACAGTTCAGTGTAGCACAAATCAAACGCATTTTTCTTTTGGATAGTCAATATTGACTTCGAAATGTGTGTGATGATATTTTCAAACTTCTAGAAATCTATCCGTTTATGGATTGGGACATTTACTTTAATAGCATTCCAATAGATGAATAATAATAATACGCTGTCTTACAGTTATCATATCGGCGATGTAAAAGAGGTTTATTCAACACATAAAAAGGAAGAGTTCAATAAAATCGTTACTCAATTTTATTTTACGGCAGCAACATCTATCAAGTTAATTCCCCTTTTTGGCGCGCAGACGATACTCGATGGAACGTTTGTAAAGAATTCTTGGCACTAGATATGCCCGCATACTGCCATTTATATCAGACCGCCAGGTCACCACTTTATACTTTGACAGAATTTCCTTACACATAGCAAAATGATACGCTTCTCGAGCCACATTCTTCCTTATTTGAAAGCTGTCTTAAGCGAATTCGTGGACCTATATGAATAAAATATATACATGTATTGTTTCTGAATTTTTTTTTTAAGTCCACCCAAACAATAATATCTAAGAAATCAGGATAATACAACATGATTTTCTGTTGTCTGCAGGTTACACCGAGGAGCGGCCTTCCACACAGTTTACCGCCCAGCTCCCGAGTGAGGTGAGCCCGGCCCCCGCCGGCCCCGCCCCCACTCCTCAGCCGGCGCTTCAGCCTCTATCCTATGCCCTTCTGCACCTCTCCGCCTCAGACTCGACAGACCCGCCTTTCCTCCAGGTACCGCTCCCGTCTTCGCCTGTCTCCCCTCCTCCGCCACCGGCGAGCGGCAAATCCATCTCCATGTGCTACACCAGCACTGGAACACTCCTCTCTCTGCCACCGAAGAAGAAAGACATCTACCGCCCATACTGCCTCGTGGACCGCGCGTCACACCTCAACCGCCCCGAGGAGGACCTCAATGCAGCACATGCCATCCTCGACCTCAGCCAGCACGTGTTCTTGTCGCCGCGCGTGGAGCCGGCGCCCCCCGAGTCTGTGCCAGCCCCCCCACCACCTGCACCATCACCGCCACCACCGCCGCCACCACCACCTCCGCCACCACCACCCGAACAACCTGCACAAGAAACAGTCACTGAGCGACCACGAGAGACCATCGCATATACTTATGACGCATTTTTCGTCAGTGATGGCCGTTCCAAGCGCAGAAACTATGCAAACGCGCCCGTCGAGGCAATTCCACCACCTGAACCTAAATCAAAGTATACGTGCAGCGAGTGTGGTAAGCGCTATGCCACTTCATCCAATCTGTCGCGCCACAAGCAGACGCACCGCAGCCTGGACTCGGTGGCGGCCAAACGGTGTGGCGAGTGCGGGAAGGCGTACGTGTCCATGCCGGCGCTGGCCATGCACGTGCTGACACATCAACTATCGCACGTGTGTGGCGTTTGCGGGAAGCTATTTTCGCGACCATGGCTTCTACAAGGCCACCTCCGCTCTCACACGGGTGAAAAGCCTTATGGCTGCGCACATTGTGGCAAAGCTTTTGCGGATCGATCAAATCTACGCGCACACATGCAAACGCATTCATCGGACAAGAATTTTGAGTGTACGCGATGCCACAAGACGTTTGCACTCAAGAGTTATCTAAACAAGCACCAGGAGTCAGCGTGCGTACGAGAAGATGAAGACGAATCGCCGTCGCCCGAGCCGGCCGCGCCCGTCTCCGCGTCCGGCTAAGGGCTACGCAAGCCGAAGCAACTAGGGACCGTAACCACCGCCGAATGGTTTATTCGTAAACATAAAGTATTAATATGAATTTAGCTTCTTAGCGTAATATTAAATTTACAATATGACAGGAGCGAGCGCGTCGGGCGGGCGCCGCATCGCGCGCCGGACGCGCCGCGACACAATCGAGCAACGTTTCGCATACAACGAATCACGTACGACCCCGTAGAGCCGCGGCCAACGCGGCCGCAGGCCGTAGCGTCACACGTCCCGATAGCGGTAATTTAATATTAAATATGTATATAGTCGTCGATAAAATATACCCTTATATACATAGATGTATTGAAATATGAATGAAAACTAATATCTTTTGTAGGTGATTTTTACAACCGCAAAGTAGGTTAGAGAGTATTAGAGTGTAAGTTTAGCGTCGAGATGCGAGAGCCGAGCGCCGAGGTCGCGGGTGGAGGGTCGCCTCCTCCGTCTCGGTGAGGAACTTGCCAAAACTTTCCGTCCGAAGCTCCGCACACACGCCGCCGCAGCGCCGCAGCGCACCGCGGCCCGCGACAGTGCCTTACCTCTCGCCCCGCCGCGGCACCACCCCCGCACGCGCGCACTACTTCCTACTGCTCACCCTCGCTACTACTCGTTACTTAACACGCTGGCAACGTTCTCAAATTCCGTTTGCGTTAACTCTAACTCAATCTACGGACCTTGCTCGTATTCTAAATGAATTCCTAAACTGTTTTCAAACCTCAAAAGTTGAAATATATCCATACTTCATTTTCTATCATCTGATCGGGTTGTTTTTAAATTACACAAATAATTAGTGTCTGAATTGAAGTACCTATAACTCGCAAGTTAAGAGTGCGGGGGCGCGTGAAGGGCGAAGGCGGGGGTCGGTCGCCCTGTGGCGGCGACAGGGCAGGGCCGCGCGCCACAGCGTGCAAGCCTTTAGTCGAGCGTGTGTCTTTAGGTGACAAGTCAAACGTAACTGGCAATAAACTAACTTAGCATAAGGTAGCATTAACGTAGGTTAACGAGGCGAGCACGAGGTGCTCGGTCAGAAATGGGTATTCGAAAAGCAATAATAATGTAGGTAAAGTCGCGCACCGCTGTCAAATAGACGCAGCAGACTACATATTCTATTGACCCTGTAGTTCTCCGTAGATGTTAGCTGTCCCCTACATCGGCGTCACGGGCTCGACTTCGTTCGTACGAAAGTATTACGCTATAAACGCGATTAGTAGGAATGTAGCAGCTAGTATGTAGTGTTGAATTTGGCAGGTTCGAGTTCTGCCCGCGGGGTCGATGCCTTCCCTTAGTCTATTAGTTGGTGCCTCGAGTCAATTCGTCGTTGGTGTTTATTTAAACCCAGTCAATTAAAATATTTTCCATAAAAGTTCCTGTATTATAGCAAACCGTTTTGGGATTTCTCTTTATAAAATTTTCTATACCTTTTGAGATAACTTTTAGTTTTGTGTGCATTGCATAGTATTTGGTAAAAAATATTTTTTAAGTCGAAAACAACGGTAACAATACCAGAGGAGATAAATCAATTGATTTGGCATTAGATGAATGACTACAGTTACTTTTTCAATTGTATGTTTTGTGTGCTGAAAATTATTGGAATATTGTTACTAAATTCTTTGAACCTTCACTTTACATGCGACAGGAAAGCCTCTAGAGGCACTAAACTGAACACTAGTAATTATATTCCTTATCCAACATACTCCTAATAGTAGCTGTAGTGCCACATTTATCTACTTTCTTAGATACTATAGTTCTCTTCCCTTTAATACATTAACCTTTTGATCGCCGACTGATTAGTTTATCTAAGACATTTAATCATTAATATATTGAAGAATAATACTGATATTAATAATAAATAGTATGTATTAAATAATAATAGATTAGACAGTGTACATTTGGGTACATTGTACCAAAGCGGCGATCATGTGGTTACAAAATATTTATTTTATAATGTTTAGGGTACGCCAGACAAAGGTGACGCGTGAAAAGCAATATTAAGGTAAATCAATAAGCAATATTATGTGGTAGAGTCGATTGGCTAAATTTAAAATTAGAATATTAGATATTTTGGTGCTTTGGAGTTATATTGAACTAAATTGAAACGAAATTAACATCGAATATTGAGTAATGGATTGTTATAAGAGCGACCACGTCTTCAGTTTAGAATGTACTCAAATAAATCTATATACAGTCTATTATCTATTGACCTACTGGTTTCCCTTCCCTTTCATCTTCTTTCTAGTATCTAGCCTTACTCCTAGTCTAGTTGATCTATGTATACCCTCTAATACTCCCTTCTTCGAGGAACCCTTTCCTATTCTTCTTAGCTCTCCCTACTGGTCTAAAGTAGAACTAGCAGACTAATTGCTTGTAATGTAAAATAAAATTAAAAACGAAGATATTTTATTCAAATATTTATACTAACGTTATTGTAATTGTAGCAGTTATGCAGTTAGGTAACTAACCATTAATAATAACGAAACCAACTTATATTATACAAAATATATAATATACATCGTAATGTAAATATGTCCCTGTGTACCAAATTTCCCTTCTTTACAATTTTTGTAGATGTAGAATTAATGAATTATCTTTATAACTATACATTAAACCTGTACTATAGCGACCGGGAATCTGGTAACGTTACTTAGTAAGTCCACCATTAGACTTGATAGTGTACACATATAATGTATTATATAACTAACTACCTACTCCAGTACCAACTCGCGCCGACGAAACTTTACATTCCCATCGCCGGTAATACTTTTCACAACTAAACGGTTTTAAAAATCAAACCTCCATTTACCTTAGTCAATAGATACGATACAAATAAAATGTAAATGTAAAAAGTACTTTAACGAATGCAAGGTACACACGAAATATTTCCATTAAGTCAACGAGTTAAGTCGAAGTTGTGTAATTTCGAATTCATAAGGATCTTTAAATTAAATTAAACTCAGTGATATAACTAAAAAATTGTCCAAATTAGCAATACGATAAGCAATATTAATTAAGATAAAGTCAAGGCCGTAAACGAAGTTAGGATTGTAAATTAGAGACGAACTCACCACATAAACATTTCAGCCACGCAGAGCACGAACTTACATACATACATTCCACATTATAATTAATTCATTTCCAAAGACTACGTATGCCTCAGTTAATTAAAAAAAAAACACATTTAGGTCACATAAAAACGCTTTGGAGAATTCATTAACGTTTCGCTGGCACAGCAACACATTTGCCGTCAATTTCAAATAATTATTTTGCAACGCCTGCAAAATGGCGCGACACAGTTTTTAGCGCGCTTATATTTATGTGAACACATCAAATTGTGCACGTGAGCGTCCGAAGCAGGGATATTTCACCACGACAACTTTGTATGTCGGATTACATTAGATTTTACTGAGTAATCAAATAAATAACACCGTGGGAAACGTACAATATGGCTGCGTATTGTATGTTTTAGTACAGAGTCCACGTGCACCGTAACATTAACTGTGAGCTCACACTAAGCCACTCCACGACTTAGAATGAGCTGGGAACGAACATCATCAATGCTTCAACGCTCCATTATATCCAAAAACAATGCACACTCCATCACATTCACCAAAGTCCTAACATCGTTTACAAAAAGTATACATATTTCTAGACACTTACTATAATACCTAGCATACGGCAATAATATGACTACTATAAGAAGAGCAATAATAAAAGCAATATTATTTTATAAATTTAGTTGTGGGATGCGGAAATTAAATTTGGCTAAGTAAGTAGACTGGAAACTAAAGTGATATGATGTTTTATAAAATTTCGTTGTTTCTATTGCTTAGGATAAAAAATATTACGAAAATACTGTTTTCGTTTATAAATAATGAGGCAATTACTATTTTTAGAACGTCATTGTTTTATAATGAAATCGATTCAAAATAATATTCTACGGAACGTGTTGTTCATCGACACTCGTATAAATAGTTGTCTCGTAACTGAGCCAGTCGTAGTGGCTACGAACGAGCTACGCCGTAGCAAATTGCTACGAGCGCTCTGTTTTATTGTTTGATGCATTTAGAGCTATCGTGACAGAGCAAAATGCTGAAATACTGCAATAACAATGATTGAAAATGGATGAATAGGAACTGAACGAAAATTGATATTGATATTTGAACTTTAAAAATTCATGAGATTTTTATACCGATGTGATGGCAACTAAAGGAATAAGCGACAGTTCTATCAAGGTTGACTTGTTTGAATAAGGGCCTACAACAACTTCATATTACGTAAAAGGCTTCTGGCTTAAAAAGTTAGTATATATTGTAATTCTGTCGCTTATGCTGTTTTTGTAATAACCTTTAAAGATCAGATTTTATCTTCTTTATAGATGGCAGTTAGAACGTTATCAAAATAACTCGGACTGGTTGGAGAATATCTGTATTTCAAACGCGCTATAAACTACATACAATCGACTAAAATTCCAAAACGATAAGAATAAATTTCTGTTATATAACTGGCCGAAGCAATCCCGTCCCAAAGTTATCCAAGAACATTTCCAAAAGGTCAAACGTCTTCAATAAAATGTTCACTTAAATACCAATCAGTCCCTTTATTCGTAAATCCCATAACTTATTGTCATCCGAGTTTTCGCATAGATTGAAATAAAATCGGTGATTAATCGGCAAGTGAATTTTGTACGAGTTTAAATGTCGCCCAACTAATTTTATGACGCAATAAACTGTACTGAATTACGGATTAGATATGGAATAAAATCAAAAGTACATAGGAGCAAAGATAATTTTTGATGTTGTTAAATAATATTCTATTCTATTAATATTATGTATTGACTATTTAAAAACGTATTGAAGGCAATATTTCAGAAATGATGTGGTACAAAATTACCGTCAAATTATACTAACCATACTATTCATAACGATTATTTTTTAATACATTCTAGCATTTACTTATTTGCAAACATCGATCTACAAAATAATTAGGAATATTTAAACTCTACGACTTCATTTACAAACATTAGTCATTCCAAAATTATTTACACATATTAAAATTATATTAACAGAATAGACAACGATGATTATTGCGTCTGTTGTAGGTCCAGTAATACGATTTAGGCCATATAAATATGTGGGTAAGGTTTAGAAACGAAAAGCAATATAAAATATTAAAGTGATTATAATCAGCAATATTAAAATTTAAGAGAATACAAGTATTAATGAGACAACGATATAAATTATTAATCGAAATTTGACAACGAATCGTTTTCATTCGATATTTATTTGCACAACGAATATATATTATACATTATTTACTATAGTAGTGACTTTAGGCTATCGAAATTATTTTAGAATAGTTAGTTACTTTACTTTATTTAGACATCTCGGTATTGAAAATAAAGACGGGATTTATTTTAAAAATACATATAAAATAAATCGTTTTATTAATAACAAAGTAAACAGTTAAATTGATAGCGTAATAGTTCGTTATAGGTTAGAAATAGAGTAGGTCTAGGTCATAGTATTCTAGTCATATAACTGTAAATGATATAATAACCTTAGTAGTAGAAAGAACGGTGATTACATAATGTGATGCATCATAGACGCGGATGTTTTGTAGGTAGAATGAGAAGGTTTAATAATATTCAAGAGATTGATGATTATTACTCAATTTGCCTTATGAATCCTTGTATAAGTGAGCTCTGACGTCATAGGAACGTAATTGATGCTTTGACAAATTACCTAATACAAGAAATCCGCGATTCTCTTCGTACCAATCATAAGTGTTGTGTCAATTGTCCAGTCAATAATAAACTTTCAGCTAATAGCAACCGTTTTCAAGTTATATCTCAATGTCCGTTACATAATATGCGAGTAGTTTTATTCTTATCTCACTTATACAATATTCGTATTATAAATATAAAGTAAGATGACGAATATACCGAGTTTGAACGTTTCTATAATAACATTTGTTAGTCATACTGATTCCAACAATTCACATTTAATAATAACGACCAAAATATTAATGTCACTTTTGTATCTCGGCATAGTTGCTCCACTTAGGGTCACTGTTCGCATGTCCGCCGAGGCTTAGCATTGTAAGCGACTCGACGCCTGCTCTAGCTAACAAGATCGCGATGTTCCAGCGAACAGTGGCTCTCAGACCTGACCAATAGCTATGCATTATATAAGGCTTGATCTATTATTTCGCTTTAGATTTAAAATAATTACTCAACAATATATCGATACCACGTAGATATTGTTTTACGACCTTTAACTTTAATATTATTACAATAAGTGTAGTATGTCAATTTTTTAATTCACGTATTCCTTCCTATTATGCAATTATTATATACCAAGAAGTACCTACAGAGTTAGTCGATAACATTGCATGAAAATTATTATTATAGCATAGTCTAATAATAAGTAAGCGTATTAAAATTATCCCAAGTAATGTATTTGGTGAGAAACGACGAATTTAATTTGTATTTCGATTGTTTATGACGTCATAATGTTGGACGCACTGAAAACTAACTATACATTTGACCATTCGAGTTCCATTGCCATTTGAATTACTTCCAACTTCAACCCAAACCTCACTTATTAAATTATGCAATTACGGCATTTAAATAAATACTATTGTAAATAGAATTAAAAAGAACTTTAATCTACATAGTCATCGTAACATTTCGAAAATTGTTTTTAACAAATCACTTTTTCATGACTGGCATTATGACGTTAACCTAAAATTGTTCCTAATTTTCCAACCTGACTATTGTTGTGTGAGTTTACTGCTTATTTACTTCTGTATATGTAACGCATTTAATATAATCTAAGTATCTAGGGTCCACTGCGTTGTCATAATGTAGATGTTGCCTAGGCGAAGGTATGATGACTTGACGTGTTTGGCATGAGATACACTATCAACATTGATTTGTATAATATGTACGTTCAAACTATCTGTAAGAATACCTTTTTGATGTACGTGCAATATACCTAATCAATATTAAGTAATATATTGGCATTTTGAATGGTAACTGGTTTGGATTGAAAGATGGTTCCCAAGAATTTGTGTATTTCAAGGACTATGTTGTATGTGTTAAGAAAATATGTTTATGTGTAATTAAACAACCAGCCCCTCTTTAAAGACGTGCGTGTCTGTGTCTCTTTACTAACAGGCATAAATTTTAATAAATAATGAGTCGTTCGATTGACACAAATCTATGCAGACGCGTACAATCTTCTTACCACATACAAAATTATTTGAGTTATATCGTTTGGCTGAAAAGTAAAAATGTTTTAATCGGTTAAGCCGTTTTATAAGTTAAGTTTTTATATTTTATTGTATTTATATTAAAATTATTGTTCTTTTTACGTTGTATTGTGTTAATATATTGGGAAAGTTTGTCGCTAATGCTGCACAAATGTAAAGTGTAGTACACGAGGCATGACTTACGCAAAATATGTTACATTACTGTAATTACGTGAACCCGCTTTATAGTGTTTATGTTGCAATGTGTGTTTCTTGTACAGACTTATTTTGATTATACATAAAAATAAATCGTATTGTATAGGAGTGGTTTTATTTTACTATTAAGATAGGTACCTGACAGTGCATAGATTAGAAAATTAAATAAGTAGGCCTTAAAAATAAAGTGTGTCCAATTTTCCTAGTAGGTGCTATTCTAGGAATTTTAATTCGATTCCAGATTTGACAATTTCAGTGTTGCGATGTTATGACAAGTACTAAATAGTGACGTTGCGAAATTATTCGATCTGGAAATGCAATATTTCTGGATCGATTCTTCTCGCTTATAATTTTACTCTCGTAAACTAAGTATATCAGGAAATTAAATATTTCTGAACCGATAATTTAGTTTTGACGATTAATTAACGATCTGAGACTTTTCTTTTATAATTGTGTGTGAAATAAATAAAAAAATGTAATCATGAAGGAACATGACAATTAAACCAGATAGATGTATTATGGTAATAAGTTATTTTATAAATTGTCGCCGTCATCGCTATCGCTATCCTGTCACTTTCTGTAACATTTATTATAAAACACACACACTGATTGTTTATCGATTTTTGTGTTCATCACTACACCATTATATGTGGTATCATTATTTCACAAAATGACAGTAGCTATTGTTAAATCTGGAATCTAATTAAAATTCTGGCTATAGTGTTGTATATTTTAGGATGAACGCCTATTATTAATTTCTCAGTAAAGAAAATTAAATATTAAATAGTAATTTAATATTATGGGCCTATTTCACAATGTCTGATAGGCTCGTAGGAATTCGGGCACTATGAATTTCAATGTCATTAGAGCAAATGATAGACGTATGATAGGTATCTATGCAATGAAAATAAGGTATTAGAATGATAGAAGAGAAAGGAGATTTAGTGTGCAAGGCACATGTCAGAAGTTCTTCATTGGAATGGAGCATGTACAGAATTGGGTAGTTTCCTTAATCAAAAATAAATTATTTCGACTGTTGAATACAATAAAATATTGAAAAATAGTCAAACTTTAATTAC